AACTTTTCTTCCAAAATTTGTTGAAGTTAGGGATCAAACACAGCGGTTATTTCCGGTATCACCACCGATCTAAGTAATTTTGTGAAAACAAAGTCAGAGAAAACAAGAATGTATTGGTGTCTGAAAATAACTTCGAACATGAAAACCAGAAATAACAAAAATAGCGAAACAAACCTATAAATGACAAACTATTTTACATGAATTTGGCTTAACCTCCAGCAACAAATCATTCATCATGGAGGTTGTCGGCTGTTTGTTTTCCGAGCAGAGATACAGATTTATTTTGTGGTTTCGGTAGTTTTGGCTTTTCCCTAATGATATTTAGGCATTGGCTTGACTTGAGGTACTTTGCATCGTTAACATGAAGATCCTCTACATAGTCCACAAAGGCAGAAACTCCATGAAGATTCTCATGATAGTATTCTCCAAAACCTTGGATTTCAACACGTTGGAAGGTGTTCCTTTCGGGTTTGAAGTAGAAAACATAAAACGGTTTAGATTTAAATGCAAAGTCCATCGAGAAAACAATTTCACCCGTAGCTGTCACTCCTGTGATGGAAAAGTTGTAGGAATCAACGGGAGCATTCTCCGGCAGAGTGTAGACATATCTCGACCATTCCTGTTTCTCAATATCCTCTAGGATCGAAAGACGCAACTCAAGAGTATTGCCATCGTGCTTCCATCTAATCCTACCTAATTTATCAATTTATCGTAGTAACCTTCTGCCCCAATGAATTTGAATTTCTCGGACCTAACATCAAAGCAAACTATCAAAGACGTTTTATCCTTTTTTCAGCGAAATAATACAAAACCCCATTGATACATTTCCCTTCAGGAAAAGGCGTATGAGCTAAGGGACATAGGATCTTCTTCCACCTCATTAATCCATTTCCTAGTGTAAGAATTCTATGATCATCACAATATGGACAGTATCTTGAATTGCTTGTCAAACCCTAGAAAACTTTTCGACCATCTGTCCTTTCTCAGCTTAGGTAAGCTCGCATACTGTCTGGTTGTAGGGTTAAATATCACAGGCACTGCATCCTCATGTGAGATCTTTATTCTAGAGAAAAAGACCAAACCAGATGTAAGGCCACGAAAGTCGTCTGCAGGGCTACAAAACTTCATATGAAAACCCACAGAAACCTTCCCTTCATATGGATTCTGAAGCTGGGGCGATGAGAAGAAGCTCCACTCATAGCCTCGTTCAAGGGTGAATAAGAGACGAGGGCGAAGCCAATGACCTTCTCAAGAACAACTCTGTGAAACATGGACGGCGAAACATGGAACCACATAGATTCGACAACGCAACGAAACCTATTGACTTTGCAGGCAATCTCGAGAATATCTCAATAACTTTCTACTCCTCTATTCATGACCCTGACAGGCGAGTACAACTCAATCAGAGAGACTCTAAAGTCGGCGCTAACCTAATAAGACACCAAGGTGTGAGACACAAGGTAATCCAATTAAACCATTTCCGGTATGGAAATAACTGAGTAATTTGGTTTGGTTCGCTCCGGTTACAAATTTATTAATGTTGTGCAGACCAGTTTAATGAATACTTCTCTCATCATTAGATATGAGATAAGCTGCAATGTGAAGAAAAGATCTTTATTATGGATCGTCAAGCCGCCCATCGGATGATTAAATCCGATCCGATCTCTTCCTAGGTTTTGAAAGAAAGGCTGGTTCAAGTAAGAGACAAGCACAATGTATCTCTGCCTCTTCTTTGGTTTCTCCCTCTGACGTACACTGCAAGAAACCCCTCTGGTGCTGAAGTTTATGTCCTCGTTACTGCTACAGAGCCACCAGGAAATCTCTTACCAAAGCAAATATGTGCTTTTCTGAAACTAAGTGTTGATTTTTAATCTGAGCTTGTCTTAATACCGTCGCTTAACAAAGTGTTTCCTTTTATCTTTGGGAGTCCAAATCAAACAAAATGCCTGCAGAACGAGAGAAAGAAGCAATTATTATTGACGTTAAGGGGTTCTTGGAGAAAATCGTCTTCAGGACAAACTATTAGGTTAATTGAATGATTTTTTTTTTTGTTTTGTGGTATATTTTGCTTGCAGACAATAATTGAAAATACGCATTTACATTTCTGAAGCTAACCTGAGAAGTAATTTTGTGAAAGCAAAGTCAGAGAGAACAAGAATAATATAGAGGACTTATAAGAACTCCCAAGTAAATTCTAACATAGTTAAGACATGAACATGCAAACCAAGAATAACAAAAATAGCTAACCCAACAGAGTGGTAATGCTCACATACATGAAACTGACTTGGCCTCCAACAACAAATCAACATCTTGTCCTCACTCTCTAGCTCTAACTCTAGGTTGCTAATAACTCAGTATGAAAGTTGCAGATTTCTCTGTGGTTTCGGTAGTTTTGGCCTTTCTCCTAATGATGTTTAGGCATTGACTTGAGGTACTTTGCATCGTTCACATGAAGATCCTCTACGTAGTCCACAAAGGCAGAAACTCCATGAAGATTAATCAATGGTAATTGATTTGTCAATCCAAATTCATGTATAAGAGTCGTCTAGCTAGATTTGGTTGTGAGTGTGACTTCTTATTTAAAGGTATGGTGTGGGCTCTATTACCACCTGTTGGCTGAAGCATTTTGTTAGATTTATGAACCCTAGTGTTTAGTTTAGTCCTACATTAATTGGGGTTTGCATAAAACTCCTCTTTTCGTAATGATAAAGTTTTAAGATTTCTTCCTTGGCTTTGCTTGATGCTTTTATTTTGTTTGTTTTCCGACTGTAGTCTATATCCCGATCAAAGCCTGATTTAGAAACAACGAGCGTATCATTTTTGCTCCATGCGAATCAAATCTAGCTTTAAGCAATATGTAAATTAAATATTAGACTCAAATGTGATTGCGTTGGGAATCATGGCAGCTTTCAAGATCGTAAAGCCAATTTAATCATGTAGTTATCATTGAGTTAATTTATCTTACACTTTTTCTGAGTTGACATTTAACTATAAACCCTTTTGATTCTTGGGGTGGTGTGAAGCTAGATCAAGTCAAATACAAGGATCTTGGGCGTAGACAAGTGAGGTGACTTCATCACGAGCCCTTCAAGTGAGGGGTATATAACTTCAATCATGCTTGGTACAATTATATAATGAGACTATTAGGGTTTCTTCTTGTCCAAGAAACAGGAGTTTATTACTTCACGTGTATGAATTCCTAAATCAAATGTATATTAAAAATAAAATTATACGTCACCAACTACTAAAGAGCCACCAGGAGACCTCTTACCAAAGCCAATATGTGTTTTCTGAAACTATAAGTCTTGATTTTTAATCTGTCAAATTAATTAAGTGCTTTTTATTTTATCTTTAGCAGTCCAAATTATATATCTCATAGCAGAGAATTACTACGGTTGAATCAACATCTGGCATGATAGACCGTTGCAAAGGCTCTTCTGTCTTCTAAATTATCATTTAAAATAACTTTTAAATGTAAAAATAAAATCGACAGGATCATTTCAACTTTTCGTTTTCTTTTTGCAATCATCATTCAAGGAATCAATAGAAATTGTATAACACAATAACCGGAAAGAAGAAAACAGCTAAGCCAACAGAGTGCTAGAGAGCTTAAACCAAACGTGTAATAAGAGAAGGCACACTCACACTAAAAAGTAGCTGGACTCTTCTTCTACATCAATTTCGCTTAGCCAACAACAAATCAACACCTGTCCTTTTTCCTACAGATATTTAGGCATTGGCTTGAGGTACTTTGCATCGGTAACATGAAGATCCTCTACATTGTCCACAGAGGCACAAACATAATGAAGATTCTCATGATAGTATTTCCCAAAACCTTGGACTTCAACACGTTGGAAGGTCTTCCTTTCGGGGTTAAAGTAGAAAACATAAACCGGTGAAAATGATGTCAAGTAAACAGACAAAACAATTTCACCGGTAGCTGTAACCCCAGCAACGGAAACATAGCTGTAGTTAGCGATTTCCAACGCGTAGACATATCTCGACCATTCATACTGTTTCTCCACATCCTCTAGAATCCGCACACACAACTCACATGTATTGTCTTCATACTTGAGTTCAATGGCACCTAGTTTACCCTTATAGTTTATTAATTTCTCATAAAACCATTCAACCTCAATGACTTTGAATTTCTCAGACCTGACATCAAAGCAAACTATCATATGAGACCTTCCATCATTTTTTTTAGCTAAGTAATACAAAACCCCTTTGATGCATATCACTCCAGTCCAAGGCTCATGGGCTAACGAAAATTTGATTTTCCTCCACCTCATTTTTCCAGTTGCTAATGTTAGAATTCTATGATCATCCCTGTTTTTAGCAATGGATAATACCTTGAATTGCTTGTCAATCGGATCAAACCCTAAAAAGCTTTCTGAATATATGTGCCTTGACAGTTTAGGTAAGCTATCATACTGTCTGGTTGTAGGGTTAAAGATCACAGGCACTGCATCCTCATCCTTATTTTGTGACATCTTCATGCTAGAGAAATAGAACAAACCAGATGTAAATGCAACGCTACGAAAGCCTTCAGGGCACATGTCTTTAGAGAGCTTCATATGAAAACTGGCCCTAACCTTCCCATCATATGGATTCTGTTGCTGAGGCGACGAGAAGAAGCCCCACTCATAGCTACGTTGGACGGCGAATAAGAGACGCGGACGAGCCCATGACCTTGTCAGGAACAGCTCGGTGAAATATGAAGAGCAAAGCATGGAACCCCATAGCTTCGACACGCAACGAAACCTAGCTATTGACTCTGAAGGCAATCTCGAGGATATCTCGACAACGAGATCATTCGGGATGGAATCTGAAATTTTTCCTCTCCTCTTGATGATCACGAGTATAAAAACTAATTTAATGATTCGGCGCTAACCTAAGAAGAGGAGAAAATTAATATAGAGTTGGCAGTACAGTAGGTTAGCGCCGATTTTGTATAACTAGCGTACAAAAGACGGTACAAGGTCATTCAATTATACCAGTTCCGGTATGGAGGAATATTGAGTAATTTGGTTTGGTTTTCTCCGGTTACTATATTTAATAATGTTGTTCATCGCACAAGTGGACTTTTGTACAGCTAATTTATGTATAATTTCAGGTTTCTTCTCATTTCCAATGCAGGATTCTCAGCATTCAACATTCAACATGTAACCCGCAGAGAGATGTTCGATAGGAAAAGTTAACCAGAGATTTTGAATACATACAATGGAAAAACAAACATAAAGAGAGAGAGAGAGAGAAGCAAAATATAGATTCCTTTTTGTTTCTCTTCTTAGACATCCTTGGCAATGAGATCGCCGTTGAGCAACTCTCTGTAGGCAGCAACGGGCCAGATGAAACCGCGGAAGATGAGACGGCTAGCCAAAGGAACATCGATGATGATCTCTTTCATGGCCGGCTTCTTCTCGTCGCTGATAGCAATCAAGTAGCTTCTTCCGACCCACCCGATCCATCCGGCGATGTAGAGGAAGAGAATCCCCGGAGTTATGAACTCTCCCCAATGCCGCTGGTCTCCGTTCACTATCAGGTGTGGTAGTCCGTCTGCCCCGCACAGCAGCCCGTACTTGCCGTAGTTGTCGAACCTAACCAACACATTTCATTTTCTTTCAAATTTCAGTTTCCACTGATAGTAACAACAAATCTCAAATCAATCCACAGATCTTAAGCACTAGTTAGTGAGATTCATAATAATCATAACGCTTACTCAATTTCCATTCACTAGTCACAGCAATTTCAAATCAATTTGTTTCTATGAGAAATGCTCTGTAATTTCCATTGATGAGAACAGCAGTTTCAATTTTGGTGAAATTTCAAATCAATTCACAGTTTTGATCAGACCAACGAGGGAATTTGAATCTCACTGCTGCATTAGATCTGCGAAACTAATTAATCACCCTACAAATCGGAATCATCCCTGAGATCTAAACAATCAAAGTGTGTGAAATTTGAAATTCGAACCTGCGCTTGGTCTTCTCGATCTGAGCATTAAGAGCAAGAGCAGGGGCGCTCTCGGGAGCGTAGAGCTTAAGAGACGATTCGAGCTTCTTGATCTGTTGCTTCTCCCTCTTGGCGAACTGTTTCGAGTCCTTGCAAGGAGTCAAGCCGGAGATATCAGCGACGGCTGGCATCGGAGCTGAGAGGAGGATGGAGGACAGCGCGACCGCCGCCGAGAAAGCCTTCATCGACTGTTGCGTCGGTGACGCGGATTTGTCATCGGAGCAGACGAATCTCGCGGCGGATTTAGGCAACGATTGGGTGAGGGATTTGTTGGATCTCGGGTTGAGGACCAGATTCGTCGGGATCGTGAGCGACATTGCTGTATCTCTTTTAGCTCTCTTTTGATTCGGATGTTAGGGTTTCTCTAGGGGAAGTGTGGAGAAGAGACTTATGGGTGGTGTGTGGGAAGCAGAGAGATGAGCTTTAGATTCTTTAGAGAAGATTAGTGGAGGAAGAGGAAGATAAGAGAGGATGTTAAGTTGTGATGATGTGGCGTGTTGTGATTGGTTGATAAGTCACACGTCGTGGATAAGAGATTTTCCCGCGGATTTTTGTATTCTTCTCATCTCATGTTGAAGATATGTGGACTACACACGACTTATCTTTATTTTCATTATATATATATATATATCTTATATGTACACCCAAGAAGCAATAAAATATATGCTGTCAAAAAAAAACGAATAAAATATATACTACACATGTAGACAAATTAAATAGACATTTAAAATTATTTTATGGAATTTGCGGTTCTATGAGTTTTGAAATAATTTAGTTGAATTATGAAAATTGTTATGATTTAATATTAAAATTCAACTCTACTAAAATCATAAAATTTAGATTTTTATATTTTTAACTAGAAAATTCCACCAAAACATTTTAAAACTTATTACTTAAATTATTTCTAATAATAATGAATTTAAATATACATTTTCTAATCATTTGTTCAATAATACTAAATTTTAAATAATTTTTTAAAAATTTATGTCTTAATAACAGAGATAATACAAATCACACTAAATTCTATTTTAAATACACCATTATATTCTTTTAGTTCTGAAAATCTTCTGATTAATAATAAGTTATTAACTGGAAAATTTGAGTTTTGATTGGTCAACCACATACATAATAAGAAAACTGGGTTAATCTTGACCAAAAAAAAAAGAAAACTAGGGTAATGATTCCGTGTGTTTTTATTACTCAAAGTCTACTTGTCAAAACATTATTCATGTTCACGTTTTCGATGTTCTGAAAATCAAAGAATGAAGCTTTTGTTTAAAAAAAATTCAAAGAATTAAGCAAAAATTTAAATGTTGAGTTCAAGCCTTCAACATTTAATACAATCTCAGTATTAGCACCCAAAAAAAGAGTTCAAGCCTTCAAAGTTTTATCGCCTATTATATTTCTGTCGTTACATTTTAAATTTTTGTTCTGATTGGTAACCTTGCAGAATGGTAAAATCATATTTCAAATACAATTCTACAAAAAATTTGTGAATAAAAAAACAGTAAAAAAACGTGAAATTTGTAAAATTGCGTTTTGCTTACAGAATATACAAATAAATCTACATTAAGCAAAAAAAATATGTTTTATATACATTATTTACAAAATAATTATTTTATATTATTTAATTATAACTAATTATATTTTATTATTTAAATAAATATAAATAAACAATTTGGAGCTACAAAATTTATTTAATGATACAATTATCTCTATTATTTAAGTTTTGCAACATTTTTAAAATTTTATATACTTTTTATTTTTTAAAAATAATTATAATAAAAATTAAGTATTTTCTAATTATACTGAATTATGTTATTTTTAATATTTTAATATTTTATTTTTTATGATATTAAATCATATATAAAATATATTATGATAATAATTATTATTATTATTTAATAATCATATTTTGCCATTATGCAAATTTATCTAATCATATTAGATTAATATATTATGCAATAAGTCATTTTACAACTCTTTTTTTTGTTATTTTCTAATTTTATTGTGTTACCAATCGGAGTCATATATATTTTCAGCGGATTTTTTTTTAAAATTCATATGTAAACAAATCTTTATAAATTATGTTATGAGATCTATTCTTGAATTAGCCCGGAACCTGTGAACACTTTAATTAATAAATTGATCTTCGAAGAGCATGTTTTTCTTTAGAGTTCGTCCATTTTTGAAATTCAATAAGACTGTTCGCTAGTTTTAAGCTAAACTTTAATTTATTATTCTCTAATCCCCAATATAAATATTTTCTTTTGTAATGGAAGTTCTGCTTCTTTTGGTCTACATCTATAATGATGATATTCTGACTATGCCAAAACATTTTTTTTTTGGTCGAAATTATGCCAAAACATTATAATTCTAAATTATAAGATCTAATTGGCTATGTTATCACATACTTTAAGCGGTTTCTTCATAAACTAATGTTGAATACGAATTCTTAAAAACCATATGGTCCATACCACTCCTTAAACTTTCTTAATGACATCAAAGGGTTTAATTATACACAAATCAAGAAAGGAACATATACTTCAAGAAAAACTAGACCAAAAATAACAATACAGCAATGCACATTAGATCAAACAAGAGCATCTTCCAATAGAGTGAGACATGGGAAAATCAGACGTTGTGTGAGTTGTCGGGTTTGGTGCGAGGAGATAATGGCGGAGAGGACGAGGCGATTGCACCGGGAGGCGGAGTAGGAGCTCCGTACACCTGAGGATTTGTATGGATCTCACGACGGCCACGAGATTTGCCGAGGAAGTAGCAGCCGAATCCAAGAAGAAGACAGAAGAAAATTAGAGGAAGAGATATAACCACTACCAAACCCATCGATCTTGAGATCTAGTTTTCTATCTTCCTTCTTTCTGATTGATTGATTTTTTGTTGTTTCTTGAACTCTTCGTTTTGCTTTGATTCTATTCCATAAAGGTATATTTATATGTGTGATTTAGTGGGAGGCTCTGGAAGAATCCGATTCTGTCCGGTCTGCAACGTTTATGTCTTGTAAAGCTTAACGTTCGAATCTCAACGGTCAGTTTTTTTTTGGGTGGGCTCTTTTACAAGTAGGTGGAACTTAAGATGAATAAATACTCACACATTAATTATAGGCTTATTTATATTGCATTCTGATGCACATTAATATAGGACTTCTAATCAAAAGACTTGTTTAATGAAATATTTTGATATAATTAATTATGTTCAATTTTTATTTTTATACTTATAAAACACAAGTCAGTTGTCAATTGTGAGTTTGACATGAGTCCGTTCTTATTTTCTAATTCATTTTTATTATGTTTTATTGTTAAAGACAATTTTTCTTTAATACCAATAAAAAAAACTGTATTTTATATTTACGATCAAAATAAGAAGTTGCACGTGTAATATTTATTCCCCACGATCAGTTGTGGTTATCTCCGTCTTCACATCTCTACTTTCTCCGAAAAACAAGAAAATTGTTCTCTCTAATGTTTATATTCTGTTTCTATACTACTACTTTCCGATGACAACAAATGTTTAGAGAAAAAGTTCTCCTTCTTCATTAAACGTAGAAAATTAGATATCTTCTAAAATTTAATTTGGGTTACGATTTATTCATATGAGTGATGAGTTTCTATCCAAAGCTCTTCACATTCTATATTTGATTCTCACTGATTTGAGGAGGTAAATGCTTTGCTTTTCTTTTTTTCTTTTCTACAGTATTTTGATTTATACAAAGTCTGTTACATATTTACTCTCCAATAAAAGTTTTCATATATCTAAACATTACTGATTTGACATAGGCCCTCTCTCGCTATTAAATTATTTCAGAAAGGCAATACACAGAAATCTCCTATATATTAAAAGATAAGCATTTTTAAAAAGTAACCTTAATTTTGTAAAATATTACAGTGGTGTCATTTTGCTGATGTGTCATCACCATAATCATTTTCAGTAAAGTTATAAAAATAGACTTATGTTACTAGATTAATTACATATTATGCCACTCACATTAATTTGGTTACACATTAGTTTATATCAATTATATTGATGATGATTCATCAAGATATTCTCTTTTCCATTTCTTACCAAAAATATATTATATTAATTAATTATTTAAATATTATATTTTATTTCTTATTTTTATAGAAAAATAAATCATCACATCATTCATATAGTAAAATATATATAGTGTTATAATCAGGGGCGAATCCAGACTAAAATTTGATTGGGTGCACCAATATTAAATTAATAAATAATAAAAAATTAGAAATATGAAAAATGAAAAATAAAAATAATATCCTATAAAATAAACTCTACGTTCGCTCATTACTAAAATGTTATATACTAAATTATTGTATACTAATATATAAAAACACTTTATGTTTTAAAATATTGTATACTAAATTACTAATCAGATCACTACTGACAATCTATTCAATTTATTGAACTGAAAATTTTGTTCAGAAATCTATATAATAATAACTAAAATAAACAATGATTCTAAGATTATATTCTATAGCTAATTCTAAACATACTGGAATAAATATGTATAATAAAGAATATTGAATCAGTTATCATTGTTCTGTGATAATTTGGCTATAAAAGAAACTTAAGAAGAAAGCTGTTTAGGGAAAAAAATTCGTAGTCAACATAAGTAATTAGGAATTTTAATTATAAAACAGAAAGAACTCATTTTAATTAGTTTTTACTTTTATAAATGGGCCAAATTATTCCTTTTTATAAATGGACATTGGTTTTTTTTTGTTTTTTTTGGGCTTCGTAAGAAAATTTAATGGATGCAAATGTAAAGTTAAAAATATTATGGGTGCAAAATTAAAAATATTGGGTGCACATAAAAAAATAGTTAAAAAATACATTAACTTTTTAAAAAACTATGGATGCACTTGCACCCTCTTCCCATAACGTAGCTTCGCCCCTGGTTATAATTCGAATTTCATAAAACAAATATAAATTACTCAAATGATTAATAAATTAAAGTATCTTTTAAAAGACTAAAATCAAAAATAAGAATGTGTAGATAGATGATTCATAAATCAATATAAAAATACATAAATGATAAAAAAAAAGAAGCTTAATCTAATAGATATTATTATTATAATTATTTTTGGTTTCATATGGTTTTACTTTTACAATTTTAATACTCTCTATTTCAAAATATAAGTTGTTTTGCATCAAAGCACAAAGATTAAAAAGCAACTTTTTTTAAAAAAAAAGTAATCATTTAGTATATGAATTATATATAATTCAACTAATTATGAAAAACTGAAAAATATAATCGATCTTATAGTATTCATAGAAAGTAGTAAAAAACTGAAAACAACTATATTGTGAAACAAAACAAAACCTTTTTAAAAAAAAACTAATATTATGAAACAGAGGAAGTAGTAAAAAATTTTAATTATTATCATAATGCATTAGATACTTAATAATTAAATCAAAATAAACTCCCGCTATTTTTTTGGGTTTTAAAATTAGGTTATTAATCATAGATTATAGGAAATATAAAAAGCGACTTCCTATTTCTATCCAGATTATACATATTTATTTAAATTTTAAAACTAATTTACATTAGAATTAAATTACCCTATATTTCATAAAATAAACAAAAAAATTATTTTGTCAATATTACAGTATAATGTTATAAACAACTCATAAAAAATCAATTGTATTTTATTATATGATTTTAAAATTATACTATATTAAATAAATAATTATTATTTTATCCTGCACAGGGTGTGAATTATTATCTAGTAACGTGTTATTCTTATAAGATTTAGCTTACTTTTCATTTGTTTGTGATTAATCAATGATAAGTGTTTTAATGTTCATCTCCTTCTTCAGATTAGTAAAAGTTAACTTATATATGTAATATTTTATTTGTATATAACTCAAACTAAGTGATCGGCTTGCACCGTGTGCATGCTATAAAATATTTAATATGTTTAATTGTTATTAGTATAATATTGAAAATATTTAATTTGTATATAATTAATTATGTATTAATAATAAAAATGATAAATTAAATATAAAATATTATAGATTTCAAAAGAAAATGAAGATAAAAAATATATTAACTAAGATTTAAACATATTTCTTTAGATCAAAAAATATAAATATGATAACTAAATAGATAGGAAAACATGAAAATCTATAATTATTTATTTAATTTTTATTTTTGGCTCGCACGCATGTGCATGTATAAATTTTTTTAGACATAATTAGTTATAATATTTAAGTATTGATTAATTTTCTTATACTTTATGTAAATATTATGTTTATATTCATATACACTTTTAGTGTTCAACAACAATCACACAAATGTTTTCTATTTTTGTGTCTTTTGAAATTTTTTATTTTTTCTAGTGTTTACATTAATAAACAATTGCAAATATAAAAGTTATATTAAATAATAATTAAATTTTTGTAATATTTTTTGAATATTATCTATACTATACCTTCTTTCTCCTTACACATATATATATATATATATATATTTTAAGTATTTTTTCCTGGATCTATTGCTAATTTAACCAAAATGAATTTTACCATATTTATTTATCCTAAGAGTAGGTAGATTATAAAGATTTTTTTGAAAAATATAAATTATCTAACAACTAAAATTAAAATTATAGTGTAATCGAGGTTAACAAAATGTATGCAAGATAAATTTGCATGCAAATTTGATTTTTACACAATTAATATTTATGCACGCACATTTGTAAGATAATCGAAGTATAGCTTTTATGTGTTAAAAAAAATAACAAAGTATATGTTTTATAATACATATTTTTATAATGTATGGTTGATTTTTTTTTTAAATATTAAGTATATTTCTGCATTTAGATATGAGTTAGAAATAAGTGAATTGTAATATTTAGGTGTTGGTAAGTTTTTTTGATATTTTCTGCAAACATTATGTTTTTATACGATGCAGTTATTGGCGTTTAACAACAATCACGAAAACCATTTCTATCGTTTTGTATTTAATCAAAATTTCTTATTTTTCAGAGTTTTATGATATATGGTTTCTCAATAAAAATATAATAAATATTTATTAAAAAATTTGTGAAATTATATTTTATAAAATTCTCCGGTAGCTCTCCGCTCATCTCTTCGTCAAAATTTTTAATAATCCATAATCTCTCGCTTCCACAAACTCTCTGTAACACAATCGTTTAAGCCAATCAGATCTAAACTGATATGTGTAAAATAATATATTTAATATTTGATTGTTATATGGCAAAATTAAGAGTTTATCTGTTGCTAACTTTAATATTTTTTTAATACAAAATATAATGGATCACAATATATACAAAAATTTTGATTCATGAAATAATATTTTAATATGTTGGAAAAAATATATGCATAAAAATTAATATGTGTTAGATAATATTTTCAAATATTTGAAATAAAACATAAAAATCGATCAAAACTATTCTTATTTATTTTTTCTCTTCTTTGACCTTTAATAATATATTTAACATTAAGATCATATCAAATGTATTTTTTTATTTTTTTCTCCAAAATATAAGTGGATTTCTCTCCAACCTATTTCTATTTTACAGAAAAACGAAAGATTATTATTTTTTCCTCTATAATTGAAAAAAGTAACAACCTTTCTTTTTTCTCTAAATTAGAACATTTAAAATAAAAGTGAGTTGGAGATGCTTTAAATAAAAAATATAACCTGAGATTTGTATATAAAACCAAAGTCGTAAAGATCTATTTTTACTTTTAATTCTACTTTTTATTCATAAATATAATATTATAATTAAAAAATTTGGTTAAAAAGATACTTATAATTTATTTTTCTTTCTGTTTATTTTTTTGTTTCATTTATAATTTCGAATTCTTGCTATATAATGAAAATTTATTCACAAATATAAACTTTTTTTTAATTTAAAAATGAAATTTATTTAGTTTTAACTTAACCAATCAAAACATTTTATTTATTTTATAAAATTTGCCATGTCACATTTATGACATGGCATTATTTTACACTAACTTTTCTTTAGGTGTTTGACATATAGGATTTTTTTAGTAAACATGTTTCTCAAGTAATATTTAAGATTTTGTTTTATTTGTAGGTCAAATTAAATTCCCTGCTTAATACTAGTTTGTTTTAATACACCAGCAAACCTCAATCGGTCTGGTCAGATCCAACACATAGCTTTTGTCCGATTTTCTACGGACCATTTTCTTGAAATTAAAGATAATTCATCCAAAATAACCAAATCCAAATAAATATGATTCGATATAAGAACAAGATTATTGGTAATGATCCAAACCGACTGAAAACACACCAATAGTAGTCAAAGCATCATATCCAAATTGCATTTACTTTTTTTTTTCATGAACTCAACCAAAGCCATAGAAAGTAAACTCTGGAGCAAATAAACAGAGATAAGGGAATGAGTTACTTCTCAGAGAAAAGACTAAAACCCACCCCTAAGAGCAAGAACCAGATGAAGAACAGAGCCTCCCTCTATGTTGTAGTCTTTGGCCGTTTTGTCATCAGCTAGCTGTTTTCCAGCGTAGATGAGCCTGCAAAAACCCAAGGAGATTTATAAGCATCCAACAAAAATAATCGTTATATGCAATTGCAGATAATAATCGCCTAAGGCCAAAAACATAAGAAAACACAGAGAAAAGAGATGCAATTTTCACAAGGGCACTAGACAGATATCTTATATAACTAACAACATGAAAGTTTGCAACTCATTATATAATGAGAATAATAAAGGATTTTTTACCTTTGTTGAACAGGAGGGATGCCTTCTTTCTCCTCAACACGTTCCTTGATCCGATCAATAGTATCGGTAGGTTCGATGTCAATCTCGATTTCTTTACCAGTGAGAGTCTTCACCTTTATCATGGTTCCACCTCTGAGCCTCAAGACCAAGTGAAGAGTCGACTCTTTCTGGATGTTGTAATCCGCCAGCGTCCGACCATCTTCTAGTTGTTTCCCAGCAAATATCAGTCTCTGTTGATCCGGTGGTATCCCCTCTTTGTCCTGTTTTCAACAATCCCAATATTCATTTAGGAACGAGACCAAATCAAACTAAGATCATTACTGCAACATCAAGATGATACGTCCATCTTGATTAACTAAGTAAAAAAAACAGAACTTTGATCACAATCTCACAAACAATTGGCCATTCTCAAGTAATTAAAATCGATATGCTTCATTCGAATTATCAATAAGTAAGATCCTCTAAAGATTATAGGAAAACTCAATTTGGGGAAAAAAAACCTCAACTTTGCCCATAAATCATTCAGCAAATACGAAACTAAGCAAACATATGAAGGATTCTCTTTCTGGTTTACGATAAACGATCTGAGATTCTCGACCACTCGAAGTTATTAATAATTCTTAGATTTCCAGAAGAAAAACCTAAAATCATCAAACAAAGAAGGTAGCCAAAACCCTATATGTCTCGAATCAGTGAATGATTATCCATACAATTAGAAAAGAATGGAATTTCACAATCCAAAAACCTAGAACCCTAAATTAACCACAGGGGAAAGAAAGAAAAAAGCACGAACAAGTTAAATTCGAAGTGGAGAAGAGAAACACACACCTGGATTTTGGCTTTGACATTGTCGATGGTGTCGCTGCTCTCAACCTCTAGGGTTATGGTTTTCCCGGTCAAGGTTTTGACGAAGATCTGCATTCTTTTCTCCTTTTGTTTTTCTCGCTGAAAGATTTTGATTTCTCTATGTCGCTCTGATTTAGCGTTGAGACTTGAGAATATATACGCGAAGGTCGACTCGACGGCAAACTTTTTTTAATAAAAAATTGGAATACTTGGAAGGATTTGGAATAAATCCACTTACGATAGATTTTGTGATAAGCGTTTGGTCTACGCTATTTTCTTATTATGCCACTTTTAAAAAAGTAAACTGTGATTTATCATATTTCTCTTATTAATCTTCCTTTTTTTCCAACAATTATTTTCCCAAAAAAAACCTAGTATAAAACTTAATTTTTCGTTGTCAAAACTAGGTATATATCTGCGCTACGCTGCAAATTATTTCTTAATTACTATTTTATTAATTTAATATTATATTTTGATAAAATAAAAATATATTTAAATGAATATTATATGTATATATTAAGAAATATACAAATCTATATATTAAATTCTGTTTGAGTTGTATTTTGTGTCATAATCATTATTTATCTAATTTTTACCAAAAATATACGGTGGAACGTGTTTATATACAATTTTTCAACTTTACCAATTAGTGTAAAAATTATTTTAATATCCCTGATTCAAAATTAGTTACACACTTATTATTACTTATAGTTAAAGAAGTTTATGTGCTTTTAACTAAATAAACTCATAAATCCGCTTCTAATTTTAATTATTATGAAGCTGGTTTTCCTAAGTTATGAGTATTGGTGACTACAAAGTGCAAGGCTGCACCTAACCGAATCTCCTCCCACCAAGAGCATAATTCATGATATTATCTTTATTGTTTTAAACTGGCATCCCTCTAAATTGATACAAAAATTCACTCAAATGATACCCTACTTAATTTCATCATAGTTTCATATTTTCTAACTTAAAAAATGATTGCTCACCCATCTAGTTATTTTTCTCTAAAACATGTTCAAAGTATCTTATGATCTACCACTTCTTGATTAGAAACTTTGTGAACATGTAAGCATAGGAATATTATTTAGAATAGTGTTTCAAACTTTCAAATTTTGAAGCTTAATAGTAAAACCATCTTAACGTTAATTTATAACACATCATTTCAGTTTTTGTGTAAATGTGATTTTTCTTGAAAAAATATTTGTATTAGATGTTTGTTGTGATTAAAAAGACATAAATGGTTGTAATGGTGAGTTGAGGTCGAATTAAAACACTAATAGACATTTGGATAATGTAAAACCATATTGAAGTTGTGAATATAAAACGTCAAGATTGAAATTAACTCTCATATATATTCAATTTGAACGGAAAAATACCTTAACCGTAAAATTTCACAATATAACTACTTTCTAATACAAAATTTTATTTATTTTATAAAAATCCTTTTCTTTACTAAATTTTTTTTTATGTTAATATGTTTTATAACAAACAGAAATAACCATTTTTCACTTAAGACATGTTTATAAATGTTTGGAATATTTTTATAGTTCTTACATTTAAATGTTATCAAATTAGGGTTTACTCTTACTGTGTATCATTTGTGAGCTGGTATATTATTTCAATCGTATAATATAAAATATTGATCTTACACATACTAAACTTATATCATCGGAGACTGTCGACAATGATTGTATAAATTTAAAATATTGAATCTGAAAGAAAATAAAGATGTCAACTATAAAACGCTAAAACTTCTTTTTCAGTAATTTGATATCTCTTTCTTTTATACAAAAAAAAAAAAATTCTTCAATCAAAACTCTTTCTGAAGTGAAAGAGTGAAATGGAGATTCTGAAACTATGAGTAACATGAATTTGTCAAGTGACACAATTAGAGGAAGAGATCTAGTAAGATTATACATCACGTCATATCTCATATCTTGTGGCGACTATGCATCTTTTAGTCTCTTGAGACTCTGTTAATTGGGTAAGTGCCTTCTTCATTAGAGTTTTTTCACTGCATTATTAATTTAGATGTTTCAATGATTCTTACGTTGTTTTTTAAAAGTAATCAACCTAGCGAACTAAATCCAATAAAAACCTCAACTAAGGCACTATAAATCGGTTCAACTTCCACTTGAAAGACACATGTGTGTGTTTGCCTTACAAAGGCTTATGAGTAATAACCGGTTGATACTTAAAAAAAAAAAATTGATAACAATAATTAATTAATTTTTTGTGTGTTTATGAGTTTATAACTCTTCCAATAAAATTCTAAATTGAGTCTGGAGAGAAACCAAAGTCTAAAAACAATATAGACTTAACACTTGAAAAGATCCAAGGCGGCGACTACACAAGAAGCTTCACACGAGCATAATCAAAAACTTGGTTTCGTTAAAAAATGGCCACACTTTTTTTTTTATCATTCTCGTAGGTTTATTTTTCAGTTTAGTTCGGCTTAGATTTTTAACGAATTTGCTATTGTGAGCAATGCTTTGATCATTTAATGGAGATTACTAATATAGATTAAAAAAAGAAAGATTCAAAAGCACAAATACAAAGCTCTTAATTAAAAGTACTTTGATGGCTATTACATTATCAACCATCTCTTTTTCTACTTTTACAACAAATAAATGGTACATATAAGAGGATATCATGAAAGATAGAGAGATGCAATTAGTGGTGATGTGTTCGTACTACATTTAGAGTTTTTTTGAGAAAATTACAAAAGAAGCCAAAAACATTGCTTCCTCGGATGCTTAGGTACTAACTTAGCTATCATCTTCACTGACACACATTTCAGCTCTGTATCCATGAAATTTTAACTTTTTTATTTGGTGTCGCTTATTATTTGGGTTTGGGTTTGACAAAAAATAAAATAAAGTTTTTTTTTATTTGTTGTTGTTTATTATTTGGGTTTGGCAAAAAGTAAAATAAAGATATAATTTTTTATTTGATGTTATTTATTATTTGGGTTTGGGTTTGGCAAAAAATAAAACAAAGATTAACAAAAAAAATATTTGGATTTTTAATGGGATTAAGTTAAAAAATAATAAAAATTAGTATATGATGTGTATTAATTAAAATGTTTTGATTGGTTGTTGATTTTGCTGATGTATCAGTTTTTGGTAATTTGAAAAAACTGAGGTGTCAAGCCATGAAGAGACATTAGTGTGATTGTTGTGTTGATTAATGATTTAAAGTACCTTTCAAGCTTTTAATAGATGAAAATCCTGTAGTTTTTAGCCTTATAATTCTTCTTCAAAAGCTAGATCTTTCTTTTGAATTAGTAAGTCTCATACCAGATTTGAGAGTAGGAGCCTGAACTGATTCATAACAAGATTTGGGGTTTGAAAAGAATACGTGGCCAAAAAGAATGTATAGAACCGTATTTTGCAAAAGATCACGATCATACATATTTTAAATAATCCAAGTTGATTTGGGGACAGGAGGGGATCTGTTGTTGGGAAATCAAAGAAGAAGAGTGTAATCTAATGGTGAAAAAGGTAGAAGGAAATTGGTTTAGGAAGTGTTTTTTTTTCAATTTGACTAAGAAACCGACTACTTAAACCAAATCTGTTTCTACCATTTTCTTCACCATTAGAAAGAGATTGAGGCTTTTTTTTAAAAAAAAAAGCGAAGATGAAGATTGAAGAGAAGTGAAAAAAGTGTTTGAGATGAAAGAAACTAAAACTTGTGATCTTGTCAATTTTGGATGTAACAAAATTAAAAGAAATCTTAGATCATTCGCAAATGCTGCCACAATAGTCTTTATGATCTTGTGAATTTTGTATGTAACAAAAAAGGGCTTTCAATGGCCCAATGGATCATCAGATCATTTAAAACCCAACTAAAACTCCTTTTTCCAATTCTTTATCTTTTACATAGTTAACATACGTGTAAATACTTCTTTTCTTCTTTAGATAATTAATTAGTTTTAATTTAGAGATATAACTTTTCTAAACTTTGCTTTTCTTCAATTGAAATCAATTTATGCAAGCAACAGAATCTGGACCAGTCCAACATGCACCGGGAAAACAAAAACACAAAACTACCCATAGCTTATATAATTAATGCATGCATAACCACGTGATGAATATGTGATTCTTATCCATATCTTGATTTATTTGAATAAATTAGTGATGTGGCTTGCTCTTGTTTCCTGCAAGTTGGTGAATCTCTTCACGTTGCACCATCACCAATGTTTTTATTATTATTATTATTTTTATAAAAAGCCAGTGGTTTTTATTGGCCAATAAGTATTGGTTTGTATTCTTTATTGATCTCCATGAAATATAAAACAAATGAAAGGTAGAATGATCACGAGAAATCTAATGTTCGTATACTTTAAACTCCAAAAAGCATTTGATAATGAGTCGACTGCTCTTTAATATTTCAACTGGGAAGATTAGTCTATGACTTTTTAGATATTACTTTAAATTTATATTTTTATATGATTTTTTTTTAAGGAAAATTGATGAACTGTTGGTTCGACAAACGAGGGGAGACTGAGACTCCATATTTCCATAACCAAACGACCTTTTAGAGGTTAAAAAGCTAAATGCAAAATTAGACAAAAAAATAAATATACTTTTCTTATGTATCTTTGACTTGAAGGTATAAAAAAATAACGACAAGATAACACTTTTTAACAGAAAAAGGGGAAAAACAAAAGCAAGAGTTCCGTATAAAGAAAGAAAAAAATAATATTTAAAAAATCACGTCAGCAAATATCCGGTCGGCTCATTCTTGGTAAAACGTGAACCGAAACCGGTTCAAGCCCTTCAGGGATCTCCACGGTCCAAATCTTCGCCGGTTCCGCCACAACATCCACCACAACAATTCTTCCGTCAACGGTGACAACACAGAGTTTTCCGGCGTCCGCCGTAACTTGCTGAGCTCCTTTAAGCATCTCTTCTCCGCCTTTCACCATAACAACATCTCCCCACTCTCTTTTCTCCTCGTCGTACTTTCTCACTGTACCTTTCCTCTCATCCACCGAATAAAGAGTCTCCTCCTCCATCGCCGCCACCGGACCTCTCCATCCAACCATCATCTCCTCCGGCATCGATTCCCAATCGTCGTTAACGACGTCGTATATAGCTCCTTCCTTAATCGCGTCGCCTTTTACATTCACCATTAAAAGCTTCCTTCTCCATCCAACTGCGTCTATGGCTTCCCGGCTAAACCGTAAGTCTCTCATCTCTCGCAATTTCTCCCAATTAGTCCGATTTTGATCCGTCATATCCAATTTCTCGATCGATTTCGCGACGGTTGACGAGAACTGCGAACTCATCCCACTCGCGATGTAGATAACTCCGCCGCAAGCTCCGGCAGCACACCACCGTCTCGGAGCTCCGATTGGAGGACCATAGGTCCACGTAGATGAGATGGGATCGAAAATTAGAGGGTGAGAGATCGCCGGGGAGAGTTCCCGGTTACTTCCGGCGATGAGGAAGAGTTTCCCGGCGGCGGAAACGCATTGAATCGGTAAATTAAAGGAAATAAACGACGGATGACGGTAGAGAATCCGGTGAAGAGGTGGGTCGGGCGGAGGAGGAGGAAGCGGATCCCATTTCGCAGAAACCGGGTCGAAACACATAAACCGGATAGCTGGGTTGACCCGAGCGTGACCCGGAGCTGGATCCGAATTTGAATCGACGAAAAGCGCGTAGAGAGACGAGAACGGGGAAAAGTTCGGAGAGTAAAGGAGACGGCGCCACCGTGTACAAACGGCGGCGAGTAGCGACGGACGGCAGACGAGGGAAAGGCAAATCTCTGATATATGGTCGGGAAGCCCATCGATCAGGGCGGTATCCTTGCCGTAGTCGATTCTTCTTCGCTTCGCCGACGGTGATTCGGCGGCGGAGGTAGCCATTGATCTAGGCCGTTTCAGTTTCTTTTCTCTCTCTCTTTTTTTGCCCATTTTTATAATATGTTTTGTTTTCTTCATTTTTGGATTTAATGAGATAAAGGAGGCGTGAACTGTAATGAATGAGGGGGAAAAGTTGTGTATATATCAAAATTGAAAAGGCCAAAGTTGGAAAGTGTTAACATCTCAATAATAAATACCTAAAGCAAACTGGAAAAAATATTATACATAAATAGCATTGTATATGATTAAGGGATATCAAGTGGGTGTAGTTTATTTAATGACTATTGTTCAAAATAAATTATTAAGTAATATTTTTATCTACAGTAAAACTTTTATAAATTAATAAAATTGGGATTATATAGGTTTATAAAAAAAATTATTAATTTATAGTGATTATTAATTTATAGATATATTATTTAGTTGATAAACTAATTTTGAAACTCACAAAAAATATTAATTTATCAAAGTATTAATGAATAAAATATTAATTTATAGAAATTCTACTGTATATAGTTATGACATAGTTTTACCTGTTTTATAATAACTAGAAAATAAAAAACATTATAAATCGTTTAATTTTGGCTTCAGAGGTTACAGAAGTTTGTTTCCAATACATAAAAAAAAATATGTATAAAGGTTGATGGCATGGCTACTTTATACTCTACCACGATTTCTATAATACGTACTATTGATCTTTAAGTTGTGAAAATAATTCATAATTTTATGCTAAGCAGAGTGTTTGAGAGTGGACTAAAATGAATCACACAACTGCAGTATACCAAAAATGGAGGGCCTTGATCTACTATGACGGAACCTTGTCCAATTAGCTTCACAGCATGTGAAGTGTTAGATACAGAATTTAATCACAAATTATTTGGGGATAATAATAATTGTTATACACTGTTTCGTGAAATGTGAAATAACAATCAGTCTTTGTATAGGGCTCGTGGTTGGTCACGGATAACGTTTTATTAGCTTATAAAACTTTCATGTGTAAAAAGGATTGCATGTAATTAAAAAATGATATGAACAAGGTTTATGACCTAGTGAAGTGAATTTTTCTAGAAGCACATATCCGCCGGATAAATCTTTTTATGCTGGTGTGTGGGTGTGTCCATTTCAAAATTATGTTTACGCATATTTCTAGGGTATTTTTGAAATTGTTTTTTTTTTGTTAACCAAATAATTTTGAAATTGTTACATTGATAATTAGAATAAGGTCCAAAATCTCCCTTTAAGAGAAACTTCTACAGTATTATTCATTTCTTTTTTTGGAAGAGAAAAGAGTGACATAGACACCCGATTGGTGTCGTTTGCTCCATTTGGTGTGTGATTCAGATCCAGCCTTCCTTTCCCAATCTTCTCAATAATGGATGTGCTTTGGATTTTAATGTGCACCAATTAGTTGATATGTAATGCATGCTCAAACAATAATTTGATATGTTTACACTCGTCTATTTAATTTGTGACTGCGTACACTTCTAAAAATATTAATTATCAAAACTATATGAAGATATAATTTATTCAATCTACAAATTTATGCACCGGACGGTGTGGGTTTAGCTAAAACAGATTGGGTTAGCCCTAATTTAAAAGTTATTTTATTGTTCAATTCGGGCGTGTGTGACTGATAAATAACTTAAACAAGTAGAATAGTCGAAGAATCGAAAATGGATAAGACGTATAGTTTACAAATTTTTAAACAGATCCATTAATGACAACATGCATGAAATAACGACGTTTAAAGTTAACAATATTTTCCTCATACTATGTTTTGACATTCTTAGATATTTAGTAACGACTCATCTATTTGTATAATCTGCTTTATTCCTCCTTAATTCTGTCTTTTTACACTAACATGTATATTAGTCTATTTTTATTAAGCGAAACCATAATCTCCAATATTATTATTAACAAATATATAAGATTGTAAACTTTAACACACATATAAATTTTAGTTCAAAAAAAAAAAACTTTAACACACACAAAATCATGCTTTTTGTGAGTTTGCGTTTAGAGTCTGTGAACAAATTTCATAAAAATTACCTGTTTTAGATAGCGCATCAGTGAATTTATATCTCACTTGTAAACGTCAACGCGAATAACTAAAAACGAATGATGATTTCATTTTATCTGAATTGGCTGATAGGTTAGTAAATACTAGTATATATGACTATGAACTAGAAGTATAATTTCCTTAGTTTTTTTCTTTTAATATAGTAACTCATACAATCCATCATTTTCAGTTGCAGCCATCAAGCAGGTGAACACACACGTGGTTTGCGTGAATAATCCAGAGAAATAACTTTTCTTTCCTTTTAGGATATATAAAAAAAAATTCTTATAACTTATAAATTTAGACTTTCGGTGCATTAGACTCTTCTGGTTAGAGGCTAGCTCTTGGTAAGACTTGCAAAAAATGGAAACTACTTTCAGCTTAAACTCAACTTCAGGAACAAAGCATTTAGTTTATATTTAAACTATTTTATGTTCACCAATGAGTTTTCACGCGATAACTAGCAAATTGCATGCTTTCCGAATTGGAGGGAGCCTGTTATTATTTAAGCTTTATAGTGAGTTTTAGATAGTAAATGAGTTAATTGAGGAAGTGATCATAGGTAAAGAAAAATTAATAGCGTGATTATACGACTTTTCAAATCAGGTGATATTGACTAAAACTAAAAGTCAAAACTATCACTCGACTAAAAATATAAATATATATCGGTGGGAGGCGTCATAATTATATTTAGTTTTGTTAAAGGGAAATCTTAATAATTTTGGATCTATTATTTGTGATATTGTAGGAAAAGCACATCACATATACATGATACATCCATGTAATACATATAAATAACTAAACTATACAAAAGAGCTCTAGCTAGTTTATCATAGTTTTCAAACTTTTAGTCGTCATCAAAAAATAAAATATGGCCACAAATTCTTCATATTACCTAGAATCTCGGACATTGGAATGAGATTTAACGTGTAGATTATATTTTGTGGTCCTCCCTTGACATTAAAATGGCAAGCTGCCAATATCCGTTGACTAATTAAATTAATAGTTAATTTAATTTTCTATCGTTCTAAGTTCTAACCCAAAAATATGGAAGTAGCTATTCTCTCAGAAAAAAAAAATACGCGTCTATACTAAAGTACTTATTGATGTCTCTTCCTTTTCATATTCTATCTTTCAGTTTATTTATTTAACGTCTCTTGTGCATGAATAACATAATAGTATAGTACTTTCGTAGTTGTGGAACTACGATATGTATATGCAATTATGTAAATACAGCGATGAGCGATACATGCATATGTATTTGGATGTGCCTCAATTATTTATAGTTTATTTATTAGAAAACAAGTTTTCTGGTGAAGTTTGAAGGCATTAAATGTAGAAAGCTGCTCCTTGCATGGGACAGCACGTATTTATGTAAAAAAGATTATTGATTAAATAAAGATCGGTGTCAGTGACAAAGACAAAAGAGTGTCGTCGTCTCTTTCCATTTATTATCATCATCCAATTGAGTGGCTCTAAATTAATTTGCTTCTCTGTCGTCGTCTCTAAACTAATCTCTATTCTTTTCAGGAAAACCTAATTTGTTTTTTGTATTTTAGGTAGATATTTTTTTTTCCATTTCTTTCTCTCTACGTCAAAACTTTTGAACCAGAAGAAAAATACTGTACACGTACAAAAAGTTGTTATCAGAGGTTGTAGATGACGTGAAAAAAAAATTGAAGAGGAAACACGATTACTTATACATGTCAATAATGTATTTACAGATACGGTAAACTCGAGAAGGAATGAAAAAGAAGTCGAAAACATACGTATTCAAATAAACCGCAGAAGTATTAGATATAGTTGCACATTTTTAAATATGAAATGTGATAGTTTAAGCTATCACTAATTCACTATGAAAAAAAATAATAATAGTTTTTGAATATCTAAAAGCGTGGATACGGCTTGTGACAATTAAGAACGTTATTTGAATATTGAATAACTATCACTTTATTTGAGAGGATGTTATTGAATGGTTGGATTTCATGTATTTGCTTGAATCTCAAAGTCTACGCACATCTCAAAGTCTATGTACAACGTGTGGACTTAAAAAGGAAAGGTCTAAAACCGTGTGTAAAGGATAGTACATTATTTTACGATTTGATGTTGGAATTCATACTATTTTGGAACATGGTTAAGAAGCCGATTTTTCTCTGAATTAACTGCGTCCTAGCAACAAACGAAAGCTAATCTCGATATCACAGATAATTAACAAAATATATAAATGCATGAATATATTTTTGGATCATTAGTTGGTCAGAGCCGTCATATAGATTACGAACAATGTTACGTAATGATTATAATAATAAGAATAATAAAAAGTCGCAACGTAAGACTTTGTTTTTATTCCAAGGGAATGTGTGGAGGAGAGATGGTGATGCATACTTTCATGCATGCCCGCCATGTAACAGACTAGTAACATTGATATGATGACATACACATCGAATCGTGAAAACGAAGAAATTATTACTCACTCAATGACAGTATTTTTGTTAATTTTATAAGTACATAGTTACGTTGTTTAGAAGTAGAGATATTTGGGGTTGTCTAAAAAAATAATTTGAGCAGCGATCATGCGTAGATATATTATTGCCGTAAACAGTTATTTTAGAAACAAATTAATAGTATACGTTTTGTTAAGTCTTTTTATTATCATATCCCTAGAATCTATCATCCATTTTATTTGTTCTAATTTACTCTATTTATTTATTTTGTTAAAGAACTTTACCCTATTTATCTTGTTCGTTCTTTTAATTTCCTTTGTTATGCACTTCCTATTTTAGTCAGATATTTTTGATTCATTTCTATTCGCTCTACATAGTTTGTTTCACTACCAGTATTATTAGTTAGATATGAAGATATATATAAGAATCTAATGGCTCTAGATAACGATATATAGTTTCCAGTCCAGTATTTATGGAACTATCTGAGTCCTAATTAAATCTTC